TCACTGGCAGTTGTCTGAAGGTGCCATGCTGTTTGCTGCTGCCTTTGGCCTTCATGTATTTGCAGTTCCATGTACCTGATGTTCTTACCCACAGTATTCACCTAGATGGCTATTCTCCATCCTCACAACTCAGAGGAAGCATGCCTCCTCTGCCTCTTCTGTCCTCTGTGCTGGCTTCGGTGCCACCATTTCCATTTGCTCGCAGCACATGTCACATAGCACTTTAATTACCTGTGAACTTGTCTTTCCCACCAAACTGTAGGTTCCTGAAGCCTTCCTTCAGGAACTGATGATGTTATTTGACTTGATGTCTCCAGTAACTCTTATGTTTTTTTTCCATACAATGTGCATTTAAATCATACAAGAATGAGAATAAAAAAAAAGATGCAAAAGATATTCCAGACTAGTTCTTTTCATTGCCTCTTGTCAGGGATAACTCTACTGCACACCCAGGTGCTAGACTGATTCTAGAACTTTTGGGCAGTCAAGGATGATTGTCAGGGTGGTCCTGACAGCTGGCTCAGCTCCTGCCTGGCAATGCAGAGTGGCTGCCCATATGGTATGGTTTGTGGCCAAGCGGGTTCCTGTGCCCTCCTGTTACCTCTAAGTGCCCAGAACTGTACTGTGACTCCACTATTGCCCCAAGAGAGTGTGGCATGGGCGAGTCTTAGCTTGCCTCTGGATTTCCTGGTATTTTCTCCACAAGTGCATCACAGCGGGCATGATATCTCGTCACTGACCACAGGATTACCAACTGTACTTCACACTTTCCCGATACTCTCAAAAAATTCTTCCTCTTTCCTCAAACTAGAAGATTTATTTTTTGAAGGAGACTGGACTTCTTTCTTTTAAACACGTAAAACTTTCAAATTAAGTAGAAAAATCTTTCAAAAGTGTTTGTAGCATTGGCTGGTATAGCTCAGTGGATTGAGCACCGGCCTGTAAACCAAGAGTGGCTGGTTCGATTCCTAGTCAGGGTGCATGCCCGGGTTATGGGCTGGGTCCCCAGTGAGGGGTGCATGAGAGGCAACCACACACTGATGTTTCTCTCCCTCTCTTTCTCCCTCCCTTTCCCTCTCTCTAAACATAAATAAATAAAATCTAAAAAAAAAAGTGTTGTTTATAGACGGAGCTCCCCTCCCTAACAACGCAGAGCACAGTTGTAAGTATTTGTGGATTGTTGTTTTTCTTCCAGGGTGACCATTTGGTTCATAACACCAAAGAATGAGTGAATTTTTCTCTCCAAGCTGAAGGCAGCCTTATGAAAAGCTGATCCAACACTTTACAGTGAGGAAATGAAGGCCAAGCATCAGATGGGTGGAGGGGGCTCTGCATTGGAAGAAAGGAGGAAGGGTGAAGTTTCTAAAGGTATCTGCAGTTCGCTGATTAACCAGCCTCACAGGCTTGCCTTCCTTGGGTCTGCAGGCCCATAAGATAAAACACATCACTGGACAGCTTGTTTCTGTGATTCTCCAGGATTTTAAACGCAGGCACTCTCTTGACGGCTGTCTGAGCACTTTCATCTGACTTCCTACCTATTGCATAAGATTGTGATGTAGGGAGGGGCGTGTGCCTGATTTAGAAGGGCAGCTATTCCGGCACAACTATAACTGACTTCTCTTTTTGAAGGGAGGAGGTTGGCATTTTTGATGGTAGTGGAATCATTTCTCCTTGACAGAGGAAAGAACCTTGTTTCAGTTTATCCTGGGTCTCAGTGTTAGTGTTCACACACACACACACACACACACACACACACACACACACATACAATATACGTATATGAAAAACAAAACAGGCCCAAAATGGAGTTCCTTATGCTAAGCCCATGTCTCCAACCAAGACTTATTGAAAGTTTCAGTCCTTCCAGAAATGGAATCCTACATCAGTCAATCAGGAGTCGCCTGGTCAGCACGAGGTAGGTCATCTGTCTGCCAGACCCCTGCCGTCCCCTGAAGGAAAGTAACCTCATAATAACCAACCCACCTTTCTGCCCAGTGTAGCTTCCTTGTTCCTGCTTCCTTCTGCTTAAAAGTTCTTCATTTTGTACAGCTCCTCGGAGCTCCTTTCTCTCTGCTAGACAGGATGCTGCCTGATTCATGAGTTGTTGAATGAAGCAGGTAAGACCTTTAATATTTACCCCATTGAATTCTGTTTTTCCCCCAAAAATAATGTATATACTATACACATATTGCATGTAGATACTAACAGTGTCTGTCCCTGAACTTGTGGATGTTGCCTGATATTTTGACATTAGTGTCTCTTGTCATTTCAGCTGAGGATGCCCGACTCCAGATTTCAATCTAGTGTAAACCAGACTCTCACCCCTCAGTGACTGTGTGGGCAAGGATGGTGGTGGGGGAAGGTGCATCAGACACCAGTGGAGACTTAGATGGGGAGCTCTTAGTAAGTATACTAAAAAGATAATTTTGATATCTCACCCCTAGTTATAAAATATTCTCTATTAAAAGAACAGGAATTTCAATAACATTTCATAAACCATGCTTTTAAAGGGGATAGTAAAAAACTAAATCTAGAATTTAGTTTTTTAATGTAAACTAAATCTAGAATTTAGTTTTTTAATGTAAACTAAATCTAGAATTTTCTATAATACCTTCCTCCATCATTTTCCTCCTTATGTAACACTAATACTTGTCTTAGAGTCCAGGACTCCTCCCAGGGACCAGACCCCAGAGCCGTGTCCCAGCATCCCTGCGCTGCTGTCTCTGTTCCCAAACAGCACTCCCTCAGCTTAACTTTGGTTTGCTCCCTCCTCCCCTTCTGGCCTGTGTTCCAACCTCTTTTTAAAAAGCAAGGTCTTTCTCAGGCTATTATTTTTTTTTAATGAAATAATAATCCCCTTTCTCAGGGAAAGGCACAAGGAGTGCCTTTCTCAGCACTCCTTGTTTTACCCTGCTGACTATTTCTTATCACCACTCTATTCGTTAGCTTGATTATTGTCTAGCTGGCTCCACTAGAAATTAAACTCCTTTAAGCATAGGAATTTTTATGTGTGTCATTTACTGCTGTGTTCTTAGTACCTAGAAGACTATGGTTGTGCGTAGTAGTTGCACAGTAAATGCTGAGTTAATGAAATGTATGCATAAAATGAAATAATTAGAGAAAGAACTGTCAGAAGAAAGAAAAATAAAGCATAAACATAATCTTAACATCTTCTCTCCTCCTGGTTCTAGTAATCTCAGACCCCATCTTCTAAAAGAGGAGAAAAAAAAAGTAAGGCACTCACCAGTGTGGGACCAGAGTCTGTGTTATACAAAGAAGTTAAGGACAAAAAGGCAGGGGGCACTATGCTGTCTCTTGTAACTAAGGGGGATGGGTCTGGGGATACAACACAACTTAAGGACATGACATCTGGGAGTTCTATAATGGTATCATTATAGCTCCCAATCAAGGTAGAAAGAGGTATTTTTCTCAGTCTGGTATAAAATCCTACAAGATAATTCCTATTGGTCTAACTTGGCCAACTTTTCCAACTAGGATCTAAACTCCAAGAGAGCAGGGTGTTTTCACTTTTGCTCACTGCTGAATTCCAAAATTCTAGAAAAATGCATGGCACAAAATAGATGCTCAATAAATAATAACTGAAGGGATGAAGGTAACTGCTCTGAAATCAGACGGAATGGAGCAATGTTCTTATACCTGCCTCCCACCAAAAATCAAAAACAACCAAGAGAGGAAGGGATCCTGGCCAGCTAAAGTATTGGGTGTCAACCTTACGTTCTAAAAGTATATGATTTTTTTGCCATCAAAAGGAATGATTTTTCATTTTAATCTTTTTTTATTTTAATTCTTGTTGCAGTACAATTTTCTATCTTTTACTCCCATCCCAATCCACCCACCTAGCCCTCCCTTTATCCCTCCCATTTCCACCCGCCCCTAGTTTTTATCCATATGTCCTTTATACTTTTTCCTGTAAACCCTTCCCCCTTCCGCCTTGAAATTCCCCTGAAATTCCCTCCCCTCTCCCCTCTGAACAAAAAGCTTCTTCCTAGGAGAGTACAGCCTTTGATTGAAGGGAATACACATCGAGATGGAAATAAACTGTGGTTCTCTTCCAGTATAATCATGACAGTGCAAAATGCCATTTTTCGAATTATGTAGTTTTTACAGAAACAAAAGGATTAAATGTACAAAGGAACTGGAGGAGGGATGCACTACCACACTTAGATTATTTTAGAGGTTGGTTAACAATATCACACCTGACTTTCATAAATGTAAATGTGGGAAGGAATATACACAACACATTTTTGTAGATTAAAAGACTGAAATATCCTTCATGGACAACTCCACATGCGCTAAAAATCTTTCAAATTGTTCATATTTTGTGACTAGCAAAATGTGAATTTTTCCCCAAAAATGTATGGGAAGTCAGAAATACACTTACTTATAATAGAAAAACCCCCCACAAATGTTAAAAACCAGGAATTAAAAAATCTGTGGTTCATTCATATATGATATGACAAAAATCATGTTTTAGGACACAAATAACACAGAAAATTATAGTGTACTATGGATTGAACAAAGCATCGTTGTAGATTATGATATAGAACAATATTCCATTTTATTAAAAAAACTGTCACATTAACAATGTGGTTCTTTGGACATAAAACTCACCAGGAATACATTCATCCTTTATTTCCTTCATTGTACTTTTCTGTGAATTTTGAATTTTTACAGTGAACAAGTGTTATGACGTAACAACATTAAACATAAAAAGACTTTTAACATATTTTGTTTGTAATTTCTCCAACCCTCTTTGCTTATAGAGCTTAAATAGCTAAGTAACCTTATGAAATGTTCAGGGTTCTTATATTCGACATCCCGAGGTGGACACAGAAGCAGTTTTCAAATGCATGTGTCTGTGGACCTCTTATTTTCTGGCTGAAAGAATTTGGTCCTGTAGCTTGTGTTTCTGCAATCCTTGCAAGTTTCTCCACTTTCACCTGCACTACAAGTCCTTGCAAGAAAAGAGTGTCTAGGAGCCACTGCAGGGAGCCCACAGGGAACATCTCTGGGTGTAAAACTTCGAAGATAACAGAAGCGTTGAGTTGCTTTCTCTTATAAAATCTGGGGATGCTAGCAAGCACTGCACAGCTCACCAATGGGATCTGTGGATAGAATTAGAACATTGCGGAAGGAATATAAAAGGTGATTTCAAGAGGATCGATTAATTACAGGAGCAGTAGAATGGTGTTATGCAGGTGGGAAATCAGGAGCATCTTGTTTCCAGGCTTAAGGGGGAAAAAAGAGAAAATAAATAGAAGCAGAAGCAAATCCACTGTATTAGCCAGGAAAATGTGTTCCTACATCTGTCTCAACACATAGAAATGATTCCATAGGACCAAAATATTTCCTTATTTACTTTAACCCAGAGAAAACACTTGGTATTCTACTGATTCATTTTTTATGTTTAGATCTTAAAGACACCACAACTTTTGTTTTAATTAGTTTATCTTATTAATAGTATGGTTCCATGGATATATAACAAAAAGTTGACAGAAAAATATGTTGCTTACCTTGCAGATGAGCCAAGTAGACAGAAAAAATCATTTGTGGAGAAGAACTAGTCACTCAAGGATGGATGTAGATTTTTAAATAACTGAAAATTGCAGCAAAAATCTTCATTAAGATTTTAATCACCTCAATTTTGCAATTGAGATTTACCATAGTTTCAGCAAGAAAGCCCAAATGCAAAAGAAGAATAAGTTTTATTTATTTTAAATAAGATTTCCTTTAGGTAATTACCTAGAGGGAACAACAACATGGAAAGACTATTTTGCTCAAAATAGATGAAATGTTAGAAAACTCAGTATGTCTAGTAATGGGTCAACGGTTATGTAATGTGTTTTCATACCCGCATTGTAACATGATATAAATATTAAAATGATGGCTATAAACACTATGTAGTAGCATATAATTATTTATTGCCTAATGTTAAAAATCAGAATATCTATATCTATATATCTGTATCTATATATCTATATCTATATTCATGGAAGCAAATAATACAGTATATACTTCATTCCATTTTTTTTTATTATGCATGCTAATAATATCAATGAGGATAGTGGAGTTTTATTCTTTTTTCCAAATTTCTATGCTGTGGTTATATAAAAATATCTTTAAGAATTCACTCATATTTATCTCTAAATTTAAAAAAAGTACTCTGAGTCAGCACCCTCTAAGAACCCTTCTAAGGTTAAGCTGACCTCATGTTAATTTTCTCATTTTGTAAAATAGAAAGTATAAAGTTTATTACATTTTCATATCAGCATGGTACCTATTGTTTTCCAAGAAATCTAAATAACTTTTAAGGCACAGACATTTCTTCTACTCAGCTTTAGATCAGGCATTACATTTGGAAATTGTTATAAAAATAAAAACATAAAACTAAAAGCTAGTATGACCATCAATATCTCTATCTTCCATGGTATCAAGCTGTGAATACAATACACACATGTTCAGTAAGTGCTTATTACATGGAGGAGGAAACTCATGGGGACTAGTGGCACCTGAGTCAAAACATGGTTTTCCATGACTGCATAAGCATTGGGCAACTTTGAGTGAGAATCACATTGCAGAATGTTCTGTGGGGGATAGGAGAATCTCCCCAGATCCAAATATGTCTGTCTTCATTGAGTTCAGAGGAATATCAGAGAAGTTTGTATTGAAACAAGGGCTTAGTAAGTAGTCCAAGGGCAGCATGGAAGCCTGGGTGAGGAGGGGTGAGAGGAAAGAAGGAGAGTGTGGAAACTTCAATTTTTAATTATTTTTATTTAGCAACAGCTGGAGGAGTGAAGTCCTTCTCCACAGACCACATCCAGGAGGAATGGCAGAGCTGTCCATCCTGGGAGGCCTCTCCCTGCTCACCAGCCGAGGTGGCAACCAAGGTTTATCTTGGAGTCCTCAGTCTGATGAGAGGAGAGCTGAGGTAACTACCTGGATGAGCTGGATTTACATTTTTGTTGGTTGGTAGGTTGGTTGGTTGGTTGGTTGGTTGGTTGGTTGGTTTAGGATAAAGACTTGCCTTGATAGAATTTACTGGACTATTTGAAAACTGTGTGAGTTTGGTGAGACCTTGAATGAAGCTGCCCTATTTGGAAAACTTAATGTAATGAGTAACATCTCACCGTAAACAATAAAACTAGAATTTACAAAAGTTTAACATTCATTACAGAGATGACCCTTTCTTCCACAGGTGTTTCCTCCACATTTCCCCTTAGTAACCGAATTAGAGTGACTGTAGAAATTCCTGTGTATTCCAGTTTCCCCACCTAAGTATTTTCTTCTGGAACTCCCTGGGAACTGCCCATGTTACAGAAATCGGCCGTGGTGGTTGCTGCCACCTCTGTCTTCTGTCGGTTCATTTCCTGCTAATTCACGCCCAGCCTGCTGCTTTCTCAGCTCTCTTCATCCTGCAGCTGGATGTCTCCTGACTGTTTTCCCCAGTTGGGCACAGTCATTTCCCTTCACACCCCCTTAATTTCCTGTGAAGTGGTCCCAGGCTTTGTGAAGATTTGGAGGTTTCAGAAGGCAAGAACAGTGAAGAGAATGCAAAAGGGATTCCAAGCATGGCAGCATTCAAAGGCCCCCACTGAGGTCATCTACAAGGTGCACAGCCTCTTCATAAGCTTCCCTTTCAGGGTGGCCCCCAGCCTGCTGCTTAACCACTCACAATGCAGCGTCCTGAGCTCATCTTCTCACCTGGAGTCAAGGTTCCCAAGCCCTAGATGACTCCAAGCATCTCTGTTTCCCCACTTCCCTTCTAGGACGACTGGGAATATTTATTCCCTGAAGGAAAAGGGCCATAGGAATAAGGTTTTCTCTGAAGACTCTAGGATAAATCAGAAAAAAGTTTAACAATATCCGTTTTCCTGATTCAGGGTGTTCAGTTGTTCCTGACACCAATGTGGACTAGAGTCCTGGCCAGGATGGGCTTCACCGTCCAGCCTGTTCCTTCTCACACTCTCCCTTGCTCTGTAGGGTGGTTCTGGCTGTCCCATCCCCTCTCTGCCTCTCCTGGAGACAAATGCTGGCAGACACACACATCACTCTGTCACATGTACTCACATATATGAGTAGGACATTATGAATTCACACTTGGGGAAGAAACATTTCTTTATTGGCTGTGTAAACTATAGAAACAGATCTGTTCAAAGATCTGCCCAATTTGCATTTCTAAACAGAGCTCTTGACTTCGATGGAACAGATTGCATCTGGGTTCACATTTAGGTCTTCCCCAGCGTGTGGGTGGGGATTGCATAACCACAGGACCTACTCAAGTGGTTTTTTACAGAACTGAAGAGTCATCCTTCAAAGCAAACCCAAGCCATCACCCTTGAAGGGAGAGTCTGCTTGTAACTTTTCCAGCATAAAAATAAAACATACTAAAAAAGAGTTATGAGGAAGGACTAGCCTTATCAGTTATTAAAATGTGTAATGATGGTAATTAAATCAGTTTATAATCAAGGTAGAAATAGAAAAAATCAATGAGCAATTTACAAAGTCTAGAAATAGACCTGCCCATTTTTGGGAATTTGACATGTAGGGTAGTATTTGAAATCAGTAAGGCAAAATTAGATTAGGTATTAAGTTATGTTTGGACAAATGGAAATTTGGCAACAATGTATAAATAGACTCTTACCTCATGTCTTACACTAAACCAAAAGATTAAAACATTTATATGTAAAGCATTAAGCAATAAAAATGCTAGAAGGAAATACTAATAATTTAAAAAGTAGTTTTGTAGTAAGGAAGCTCTTAGGGCCTGACATAAAACCGAGAAGATTCAAAGCCCAACGCTGATAAATTATTTTTTTAAATGTGAAATTCTCTGTATTATAATAATACTGTAAATAAACTAAAGAAATTCAAAGAACAAAGTGGGAAAAATGTGAATGTTTATGGTAAATATATAGTAATTTCATATATATGTGTATATTCTTTTTTAAGTTTTTAAAATATATTTTATTGATTATGCTATTACAGTTGTCCCATTTCCCCCTTCACTCCCCTCCACCCTGTACACCCTCTCCCACCCACATCCCCGCCTTTAGTCATGTCCATGTGTCATACTTATAAGTTCTTTAGCTTCTACATTTCCCATACTATTCTTGCCCTCCCCCTATCTATTTTCAAACTACAATCTATGCTACTTATTCTCTGTACCTTTTCCCTCTCACTCCTCCTCCCTCTTCCCTGTTGCTAACCCTCCATGTGATCTCCATTTCTGTGGTTCTGTTCCTGTTCTAGTTGTTTGCTTAGTTTCTTTTGGTTTTGTTTTAGGTGTGGTTGTTAATAATTGTGAGCTTGCTGTTCTTATACTATACATGTTTTTTTTTAATCTTCTTTTCTTAGATAAGTCCCTTTAACATTTCATAAAATAAGGGCTTGGTGATGATGAGCTCCTTTAACTTGACCTTATCTGAGAAGCACTTTATCTGTCCTTCCATTCTAAATGAAAGCTTTGCTGGATAGAGTAATCTGGGATATAGGTCCTTATTTTTCATAACTTGGAATACTTCTTTCCAGCCCCTTCTTGCCTGTAAGGTCTCTTTTGAGAAATCAGCTGACAGTCCGATGGGAACTCCTTTGTAGGTGACTGTCCCCTTATCTCTTACTGCTTCTAGGATTCTCTCCTTCATTTTTACCTTGGCTAATGTAATTATGATGTGCCTTGGTGTGTTCCTTCTTGGACCCAACTTCTTTGGGACTCTCTGAGCTTCCTGGATTTCCTGGAAGTCTATTTTTTTGCCAGAATGGGGAAATTCTCCTTTATTATTTGTTCAGATACGTTTTCAATCTGTTGCTTTTCCTCTTCCCCTTCTGGTACCCCTATAATTCGGATGTTGGAACATTTAAAGATGTCCTGGAGGTTCCTAACCTTCTCCTTGTTTTTTTTGAATTCTTATTTCTCCATTCTTTCCTGTTTGGTTGTTTTTTTCTTCCTTCTGGCCCACTCTATTGTTTTGAGTCCCAGTTTCCTTCCCATCACTATTGGTTCTCTATGCATTTTCCTTCATTCCTTTTATGGTAACCTGCATTTTTTCATCTAATTTGTGCCCAAAATCAACCAATTCTGTGAGCTTCTTGATTACCAGTGTTTTGAACTGTGCATCTGATAGATTGGCTATCTCTCGGTCACTTAAAATGATGAGTCCTGGGATGTTGATCTGTTCTTCTGTTTGAGACATGACTCTCTCTCTCTTTTTTTTTTTTTGGTTTGGTCTCGCCTGTTATGGTGAGGGTGGAGCCTTAGGTGTTCACCAGAGCTGGGCACCCCAGTCACTAGATTGTGACGTTGTATGTGGGGGCGGGGGCGGGGCGGGAGGGAACAATAGCGGTAGCTCCATTCTCCGTGGGACGGATCCTGGGTTGCGCACTCTGCCCTGCTCCACAGTCGCCGCCTCACTTGGGTCTGCCAGCTGCCACTTGTGTACTCAGGGTCCACCCGCTGAGATCTTGTGTGCCCCAGATGCCTTACCCGCTCCTGGTTGCCTTATGCACCCAACTCTCTCTGTTCTCCTTGCCACGACCCGAGCTGCGCCCTGTGCCCCGCACCCGGCTGCTCCTCTCCGCCCCTCCTACCAGTCTGGATAA